CTTTGTGAAAATTAAAACGGCAAAAAAGTGGTTTGGTGCCTTTTTAGTGCTTTTCTTCTGAATTAAAATTTCTCATAGATAGTTAAGCATGAAATAATTTGAAATATTTAAAGCTGTCAGCACTGAACTTAAAAGAATATACATTAATTTTTCCGTTTGTTGCGATTAGATTTTTTTTACCCGAGATATATAAGTTTTTTTTTAATGTGCAGTACTTCGGTATAACCAAAATATATTCAACAAAAAAATGTATTTTAATACACCTTGGGTATAACTTCGTAAGCATGAGAAAAAGTTTTGTGTTGATTTATACTTGTAAATGTTATTTATTTATTTTTTTAACTTTTGTTATATACAAACTGTTATGAAAAAAAAATATCCTTTGAGCGGCAAGTAAATTTTTGATAACTATGAGGTGAATCAAATTTGAGTAGTTCATGAGGCTAGTGAAATTTTTGACAAATGCATAGAAAATTTTGATAATCGCAAAGATTGTTGATGTGTGTAATTTTTCGTTAAATAAAAGCTTAAATTGATGAATTGCAATCAAACATGATAGATGTTTTCTTAAAATTTTAATTTCACTTCAATTTGTAATATTTTATGCCGCATAAGTCTGCGGTTATCAAAAATTTACTGCTGTCAAAAAATATTTCATTTCACACAGCAGATTGGCAAAACTGTCTGACCATAGTTAAAATATTACTCAACAGCTTTCCCCATAGAACTTTGTTACCGATTCACACACGCCCTTTGATGCAAAAAATTAGTGCTTTTGTTATGGTAAAACGCCTATATTCCCCCCAAGTTCTGGTGCTTTTTGAAACTCACATTTTGGCAACACTGCCCCATGCAAATGCTGCCTGTACATACGTATGTATATCGATATAAATATGTACATAATATGTAAATATTATTTACCTTTGTAACATGCAATGGTCGACAGACACAGGCGCTACAATCTTAACAGTTAATAAAATATGTACTTTATAAAATTTTAGACATTATCAGATTTATAGCTTAGCTTTTCTGTTTTATTCAAAAAATTTCAGAATTTTCAGAACTAATGAAAAAGGCCATTTTGCACAAACACAATGTACACATTTAAGGGAACGAACTCGTAAATGACATGTACGTTGGTGTTCTGCGCTTCATTGATGGCCGATGCTTGTTTAGTTTATATTGTAAATATGTATCTCATAAAATGTGCATATACATATATATGATGTATGTTTACAAGAATATACATACTGCCCGCATACAGTACATAAGCATGTATATACAAAAATGATAAAGCAAAGCAAGCTACGTGCGTTTGCGTTCAATTCATATCCATATATATACACGCACTTTGTACATATTTATATACATGCATCGAAAACCAGTCGATATTGTGAATATGTACATAAATCGTGACGAAACGAAAATTTTGCTCTCGGGAATTCGCTGGATGCGAACGATTAAATTTTTCTTTATGCCATTACTTACATATATGTGTAATACATTCATATACGTATCTTTTAAAGCACTTGGGTTTTTTAACGTCCTATGAGGTGAAAATTCTCTTTATATATCGTATCTATATGCAATTAAAATCACTGAAAATAACAATGAAATCACTTTGACCAGCCACAAGAGCACATTTGGATGAAAAATCTACTTCCGGAACCCGATACTTCACTGCTAATCAGTCCATCCTACACACTTTGCACGACATTATTTTCTTTGCACATACCTTTATTTAGATCTTATTTGCTTTATAAGAAAAATAGTTAAGATTTGGTTCCATTTTTTGGCTTAATAAATTGCGATGTGCTACTAAAAAATGGAAACCTTGCATACGCGATGCAGCAACAGACAGGGCGAGCCAATGACAAAATCTGACTTTACGCAAGCTAAAACGGAGTTTAGAGCTGTCAAATTATAGGAGCATGGTTGCATGAACTGTCAAAGTATTTTCAAATTATCAGGTTAAAAAACCATCAAGAAGCATTGTTATCTATATGCCAAAATATGTTTTAGTAGACTAAATTAAATAATTTATGACTTGACGTAAAGTTTTATAAAATTTTAGTCATGTATTTGGCTTATGCCAAGGCACATTAAACAGGTAGTATCAGTAGAGCAAAAACAACATTTCCGTGTATTTTGTTGTTGCTTCTGGTATCGAAAGTGTCAAAAACTGAATTTTTTCTTCTAAATCAAAGCGTGCCATGTGAAATACAAAAAATTATAAAAAATAAAAAATTGAAATTGGAAAAAATAAAAATTGATGCAACTTTCTTTCCTAGTAAATTTGTTTGCTTCTCGAAGCATTGATCCATCCTTTACAAGGGCCAGTAATCAGCGGTTGTGCTGCTTAGTTGGGCGAACGTTCCAAAAGCTCCTATTCAATCGCTTGTTTTGTATGGAAAAAGGTTTCACATGCAAATAGATTTTAACAATTCAGAATTTTTGTGAGAAAAAATTTAAAATATTTGACATTTTCGAGACCAAATAATTTGAAAATAAATCAAATCAGCTGCTCTACTGATACTACCAGTTCAATGTACCTTGGCTTATGCATTATATGTTTCATGTATTGAAATGTAATCAGTAACGTTCTTGTACGCGATAGTTTGTACCTGTTTTTACTAACTATCACGTTTTAGTGTTCTTGTACCAACAAAACTTGTGAGAAAGGGGAAATTGAGAGCGCAAAGTGACATTTCATTTTGAGGAGAAATTGCTAGTTTTTACCGGATAAATGTTTACTAGTAAGAACTTGCAAGTGATAAAAACAATTGATCGTGTTGCTGGGTTTTTATAGTTGAAATTTATAAAATAAACCTATTTAAATATAATATATATTGTTTTATTGGGAGCTAGCTGCGAATAAAAAAACAAATCAATCAGCTGTTCGTAAAACTTGCAAATTATTACTGCTTTTGCGTTCTTGTACTTTTGTGCTATGTGGGCGAATTATCAGAAATTCAGTTACTGGCAAGTTACTGGATAATTCGTAAAAGCACACAACTATTATAAGGTGAGTTCCAGCGTTTTTTGGACTAACACCTGTAGAACTGTCAAAAAGCAAAATATCTTTCACAAGAGAGAGCAACGGTCGAAGAACTGAGAAAAACTGCTGGAACGCAAAAAAAATACCTTCCTGCAGGCATATAAATGTCAGATGTTTGTTTACAGATTTATTTATTCAGGCAAAAAATCTTACACACAACGTTTTAATTCTCAATAGGTATCCTTTTTTTGGTACAATTGACTTCTATTCTGCTAAAAATATTTCTTATAAATTGCATCCGCTCTTTCACTTGTTGTTTAGTGCTCATTTACACACGGCGATTTTTGTTTCCGCAACTCGACGTTTGTAGGAAAGAGCGTGACGAGGAAAGGAGGGGCACCGAGTTGCTCGTGCTCGGGCAACACGCTTTGTGCTCTCGTTCGTCTGTGTGAATTGAACCTCTGTTCACAGCTGACAACAACAATTGCATACACACAAATCGCCGTGTGTAAATGAAACGAGCAACATCAAAAGGAATGTGAAAAATCGCGTCGAAAAAAGTTTCCGTGTATAAACAACGTCTTACGAATGGAACACTGCTCTTCATTTGACAGTTTTGGTTTAATGAGAAAAAGTGGCAGCATTGCTTTTTCGCGTATTCATCACGGTGCAGCGATCAAAGGTGGCGCCATCAGTGGTACCGCTACTTTGGTTTTGCCGATTTTGACAGTTGTGGTAACTTGTAAATAAACCTTTGTTTACAAATCAGCGAAAGAGAAATATGAATTATTAGTGTGTAATCAATGTGTAATCATTCCGAAATCAAAGCGAGACAGTCTAGTACCGTTTTTGT